AGTGTATTTTCCACAGCATTTGCTTTTGTGCTCTAAGTAAATTTAGCACTTAAAACCTTTTTCAGATGTCTGTGTTTCTTTGTTTTTTGGTAACAAAAAATAAATTTTAATTTAATAAAAATACACAATACTTTACAGTAGTGTACAACTTAATTAAATTTCACCCGAAGAAATTACAGGTGAAAGTGTTTGGGGAAAATGAAACTTTATAATGCAATATGGAGCTTACCCGACCGGGATCGGGAATACGAAAGAACAGCGGGATATTTTCATTAAGTTGTCACTGGGATTATCGCAAGACGGGCGCGAGGCACCTCGGAATGGAAAATGTTGATTTATTTCAAATTAGCCGCGCCTGATATTCCCGCGCCGGGGAGGGGTTGTATATTACCTCATAGGTGCGACGGTGGATCTTCTCAGCCAATGGGGTAGCTTCGTTTTATTAGATCCATAAATTCATCATATCAGAGGGGAGGAGGGTCAAGATGCGATGCCATTGGCGCAGTGCGGCGTCTTGCTCCCACCCTTCTGGATATTAATATCGAATTTTTTGGCGGGAGTTGCGTGAGGGTGTGCGCGCTCGGCGGTCACTCATCCGGCGGAACTGTCATTGCGGAGGACTTTGGTCAATACATCCGCACACGCACGCACACACACACACAGCGGCATCTTCCCCTCAATCAATACGGCACCCCTGGAATTGTTTTCGCATCGGCAATAGAGATTGCATACTTGTGAATATTTCATAAGGGTGACACCCTCCGTGTCGCTCGCCCTACAATAATACATCGGATACATGATCCCTTCACATAAATATCTGGATATTAAAGCTGACTGCGCTCGCTTGCCGCGTAAATGGTTGGGTAAGAAAGACAGCGCGTCAGATAGGGGTTTGTAGATGAATTTATACTTTTGTAAAACCTTACAGTTTGAAATATAAATCCCGTATTAATTTTTATCTAGTTTCATTACTGAACTCATTGAGCGTCCAATAAACAAATAGCTCCGAGTCTAAGTTTAATATGGCCATCGTTTAAATATATGACCATTGGGATTTCCTTCCTCTAGGAGTTCATCTAGGTCCTATACCCCGGAATTGTTTTCCACATTACTTCAGGCTACGTCTAGATTCACTTGGATAAAATACATTGGTGATTTGAATGATTTGAACCCGAGACCTCGGTGAATGAAGACCGTCCTTTGGGAAACAATTATGAGATATGTTTCTGGCCAGTTTATGAAGAGGATTGTCTTGTTATTTATTAAACTGATACAACTCAAATAATTCCCAAAACCAAAAGCGAAGCACAAATTGTGAGCTCTACTCCAGAACAAGAGAGGAACATTCGAATTCAAAATGCTCAAATGTCAGCAACATGAAACTGAGAACAAACTCGAAGTCTTCTATCACTATTCAAAATCAATGTCATAGTTTTTTACTCAATCTTTTGTGTTTTTTTTTTCATCGATATACACAACACAGCCTGAAGTTCAAGTTTCAAACATTTGAATAGAAATGAGCCACCCTGATATTTAAATTAGATTAGGATGTACCAGATGTGGTTATAATTAGTATATCAATCTGAAGGTTGTTGATTCGATCCTGCAAAGCCAGTAGACCTTTTTCTTATTTAGCTGTCCTTGAAGATCCGCCTTTTGATAAAAGGTCATGTCTTTAGAAACATCTGATATTTATCAGTTACAACGCTTCAAGTCACATTACACGTCTAAAACGTTTCTTCTATCCCAGCTTATAATAATGATGGTGATATTGATGTGGTAGAGTCTTAACACTCTTGTTCATCTAAATATGTTTCTATGTGATAAATATACGGTATTTTACCTGATGATCCCGGTCCATAACAATGATTGTCTTGTGTCTTTCAAATACGCTTAGAATTTACTTATGCAACAAGCAAATCACAATCCATTTCAACTTCCAAACCACCCCAGCAAAACATACAAACCTCACTACAGCATAAACTTTCTGCAACTTTTATTGGTTTCCATTCTGAACTGAAATAAATCAGAACACAAAGAAGCAATGGAAGGGGCTTGGATCGATGTTGATAAAATATATAAATTCAATAATGTGGCGTTTAGATGTATAGCGGTAGGGGTGGTAAAAGAGAGAGAGATAGAGCGAGAGGGAGGGGGGGTTATGTACACTGATGTGGTGCATATCAACCCGTGGAGATATTGCCAATAATTTCCACCCCCCGTTCCCCCCCCATTTCCATTCCCAGTACCGCCCTAACATTTGGCTTTCATAATGGCAAACGATGGAACGCCGATACATGCTCCCATTTGGAAACCTGATCCCACACAGATAAATCGTCCGGATCGCTCCGGGAATCACCCACTTGTGATTTCGCTTCGGGGATATTTCGAGCCGCTATGTTGGCAGTGACAGCAATGGCAGGCTGAAATTCCACATGGAGCTTTATGGTTCCAGTATTGACGGTTGGATAGAATTTGACGTTGGGGTTCGGGTGAGATTTTGCAGTGGTAGTTTGGATTCGGGTTAGGGGGTATAACTTGTATTTGGGTTGGTTTAGTTCGGATATAGATCGAATAGAACTAGTATCGTAATCCATATAACAGGAGTCTATTTTATCGCATATGTTGTATAAAAGTATTGTATTAGTTTAAATGTATCAAGGCTTGTTCTATGCAAAAATAAAATACGTTGAATGTGCAGTATACATAGTTGAGTAGCTGAGTGTTCTCCTAAGAAGAGCGCCGATTAAACTTTGAGAAAAGTAAGAAGAACTTTGATCCTTTATATGTACCCAGCGCTCATTAAAAAGAAGTTGTCGGTCTCTTGAAGCCCATGACCTACGACTTGTACTTCGAACGAATCAAGCAAAGCAAAGTCAGAGTCAGTAACAACAATGAACATTGCTGTTAAATATTTTGTGATGTCGCTGGAAAGCAAACCCATGACTTTTTTGCCCATATATTTAAGTTTGTGTAGGTATGCTTGCCTATTTTTCCATTTACACTATTAAGTTGCATTAACGTTAGACTATTATTTCACAGAAATTGTTATAAACGCTACAGATGATAAATCATTTCAAGGGGTTTCTATTACATTAAACCTGGGTTTATGTGGTTAGGTGTGGGTGAGTATGACGTAGGATATAGTTAGTTGTAAAAAGTAGTTAGTTACCTACGTAAAAATTATAACACGTCGAACTTCAATTTTTTTTTATTAGTTTAGTTTCGAAATAAATTAAGTCCTTCTAAAACACCAAATAAATTAATTAACTTTACGATATTTATATTTGTTAGTCAATGCCAAAATACTACAAAAAGCTTCTATAGAATCGCATCATGAGTGAATTATGCTTAAACGTCCAGTTTTATTTTTCGTCAATGCAGCTCTTTTTAACTGATGACCCTGAATAGTGTGATGGTTATGCATTTGAGATATGTACGTAACACACGCGTTTTTATAAGCCTACAAAATAAAAATTCTGATTGTACTTTAACATAAAGCTTATTAGGCCTAGGATTCCATGAAATGAAACCAATGCAATGTAATATATTGTTAAAATTTTCAAAACAATATATCTGGAAACATAATAGTTTAATGATTAAACAATATGCCTACCACAATGAGTGAATGTAAATAGATATAAATTATAACCATCATATAGTAACTGCATTGACTATCATTCAAATTGACTTATTAAGCTGACCTTGTAATCGTTAATACATATTAACTACATATTCTGGCGTTTCATGTAAATACTCTAGCGTTGTATGTTAAAACGTTTAATATCATTTCTAAAGTTAATTAATTCTTAGTTTATTGGAATTTAAACTATGCACGCGTTTTAATTAATAGGGAAAGGTTGAGCTTGATATCGAACAAAATACAGAGAATCTTTATTGTAATTGTGTATTTTTAACTGTATCTCCCTAGTTTTATATTTTTCGTGTAAGATTCCAGACAATGTTATTGTAATAATTATATATAAAGTATTTTATTCAACTTTCTATTGATTTCCCTAAGAATAAGAAGAGTCGTTCTAAAACTATGATTTGAGGTTATGGTATTATGTAATGTACAAAAAACTTTGAATTTATGTATTGTCCACTCCACAAATATAACATAACTTATACTGGTAACGTGTATATTATTCACATTCAATGCTAAATTAGTGTATTATATGAGTAAACTCCATTCCCTTGTCCCTACATTTAACATTCTTGCAAAGAGGTTAGTTTTGAAAATTCCTTCATCTACCAACAAACTACATCTACCTAGAAATATCACCTTAACAAAATCCAAAACGTCAAAATCTCCGTGAAATTCACCACTTTACCAACCAGCGTGGATAAAATAGCGAAACGGGAATAGTTAAGAATTAAAAATGCTGAATGCAAAACTACGCCCTGAGCACTAGCGCTACTGGTGTGAAAATCGTCAACTGCCACCGAGCGAGAACGAATGTTAATTTGAAAGGGTGAATTTTATCTAGGTCAGTAGGTTTTTAATGTAGCTCTTAATGTTTGTGTACTATCAAATACTAAATAATTTAAGGAACTATTCTATACATTTTGTGTTGTGTTGTGGGGTGGGCCTATATAAAATAATGTTTGACTTGACTGATTACTAAATAATTATTTCGTGTCTCCGATCATATCAGAGTACAGTACTTGTAAGTTGTAACAGCCGAACACATTGTTTACCAGATGATCTATCCGACCTACATCTTCAACCCCTAACCCAGGGGTGGGAAGACTTGCGTAAGCCCCACCAACCGGGGAACGGTTATAATTTTCATATCATAACAGGCTTTTGATTGGTGCGCGATGAAAATATGAATCGGGGAGGGGAGGGGACCAATAGCGAGAGGGAGATACATAACGGGCCTTGCGTTATTGGTCGGTGTTTTTTACCCGGGGTGGCCACCAATCAATAACACTAGTTCCCGTCATGGCCGCAGGTGCGCTACTGTTCCGGTTATAGAAATATGTATCGCACTTACCTCTGTTATGCCCCTGCTAGGTCCGCTCGCAGGCTGCTTAGCATATCGGTCGATATCCTTACCCCTCTCTCCGCAACCCTGCCTCCTCTCCGCTCACCCCTTCCATTCACTCTTTGTTTCTCTGCGAGTTGCGCTTTGGATTTTTCTTATGGGTGGTTAGTTATGCGAGTTTTCCGGTTGTGAAATAGAAACTGGAAAAGGAATTTTTGATGGGGTAAAAGTTTTTCTATCATAAACAATCAGTTATGAAATTTCTGGTGTAAGGTTGTGAGTTAGGTGATGGATTTTTTGTTTAAAACTTCTAGCTTATTAACTAATCCATGTAGTGATGATAGTGACGGGACCAAGGTTTGGACAGTTAGCTAAAAAAATTTAATTTTAGGGGAAAAATCACATAATCCTATAATTGAATGATTTAGCAACAACATGTATGCACAATATTTTCTAAGATATTTAATTGATTACCGGGATTTGTCTATGCACTGTACTTAACAAGAGTTGTAGTGTAAACCAGAGTATACTTTGATAATAGTTTGCTCTACGAGTTTGCTCATAATACTGCATAACAATTTCACGTAATAGCAGATTGCAAGAATTTTACACTTGTTTGGAATAAAAGAGCTAAAAGAAGTTTCGTTAACTAAGAAATCTCACGCCTTCACAAATCTGAACGCAATATTAGTGCTGCACTCCTTTTGCCTACTTCGCCTTCCTTAGACGACCCTTATAGAGTTGTAGACTATTCCACAGGATAACAGAACATGACTCTTATTAGTACGTTTTAATTTAAAATGACGAAAATAAAAACACTATTTTTAATAATTTGAAAAGTCAAAATCACAATGAAAACTACCACATAAAATATATTCCTCAGATAATCAAATCCTTATAGTTTAAAACTACCAATTTAATCTAGATTCAAATTGGAAAATATCAATTTGTTTCTCTTTCAAGATCACACCCCTCCATTCGTTCGTAGACAAAATGTTATCAAATACATTTAGATAACGGCTAGAAGGCCTTGGTCCTTGTTCTAAAGCATATCTCTTATGTTACCTCTTTCAGAAATCATTATCAATTATTTAGCTATCGATTTCTTAATCTTACCTTGCCTTTAAAGCCCTCATGCTGCTCCTATACAAAATACTCTACTACTTGTAAAATCTCACCCCTTTGTTCCTTCCCATATCCATCGTAGCTCATTCACATAATATGACCAATCAAATTTAGTTAACATCTTGTTAAGTCTTACTTCAACTTTGCTTCAAGAGCACACTCTTTTTCTACTTCTTTTAATTAACTCAGTGCAAGGACTAGTTAAACCTTGCCTTGGATTTCCTTTAAGAGCACACCTCCTAGGTTGCCCCCTTTCAAAGTTGTATATATCAAATTTTGATAACTACTAGAATTTAATTTTTTTCTCCCTCCTTCATAAAGTATATCTACTGTAAATGTAATCCACGCAACGAATACGTTGCGAACCTTACCTTGTTTCTCTAATCAAAAACAACCTCATTTCTCCTTACATCTAGCAAAGAACAGATTAAATCTTACCTTGATATTTCAGCCAGACTCCATGCTGCTCCTGGAACCTCCACTGCCCAACTGTTGCTGCCCAAGGGTCGCTTAGTCACCTAGCTCCCCTGTTGACCAACGGTCACTAATTTCATAACTACGATCCATATCTGGAGGGTCTCTAGAGAGTATATCTCATAGTGGCCATTGTCATTTGGACATTTCAATAATAATGGCACGTGCTGTTATTGTTACTGTTCAGCGTTCCAAATATATGTTGCCGTTCGAGTGGGAATCGATAAAGGTTGGGGCTCGGTTCATGGTTTAAATGTACATGGGATCTTTAATGATCTTATTTGAAAATTTCTTCTTTTTGGAAACACAAGATGAGAATTCCATACAGAAAATGGAAAAGTGTAGACAAAATTACTTCATTTTTAGAAAATGAAACGCATGATGTGTGCTGCATGCGTTTTGTATAATTTATTTCTAGGGTGCCTACTAAAAACTTTTCAAACATTACGATTATTAGCGCGAATTCTTGAATTAAATCCAGTAATTTGTCTATTATAAAATAATATTTAAAATCAAGATATTGGAAGGTTAAGGATTATTGCTCCAACACCTATGTTAAATGTACCCTGGTAACCACAATATTTTAAACACATCCAAAAAAATGTTTTGAACATATAACTTAAATTGTCAATATCAACGAGCTGTTATACTAATGCTTTGCAACGGGAAGAATGTGACAGCCATACAGTGTATAAGTGGTGCTGATGTGTGCTTAAAAGTACATCATCTCTATGGTTTAATTTGAAAAGATTAACTGATTTAAAAGTGTAAACCAACTTACTTTCAAACCCTACTTTTGATCTCAAAAGATCCAAAATAAATGACAACATACCTTAGTGTAGCATAACATCAATTTTAATTGATATTGATACTTCATGCTTAAGATGTTTAACTATAATTCTTCAATTTTAGTCAAGCCTCTTTAAATGTAGTTTACTATAAATTAAAAATTAAAAGCAATACCAAAAAAACTTGTACAACCTTTCTTTTCTCTAACCAAACATAACCCTGTTTTATTTCCTCAATCTATTAAACCATCACAAACAAACACCAGTTATTTGCATTGACCAGCTGTTTCATTAAATAAATTAAATCATTTAATCTTTGGAAACATGTCAGACGTAGCCCGTTGGAAATTGGCCTGTAGGGCCCCTAAGTTTGTCCATACCAATAATTTTCAGATAATCTACACACTTAATTTAGATGATCCAACATTATTGTAATGTATAGGTTTTTCCGGTTATGTATCGTATGTAATTTCTAACATACTTTACAATAACAGGATAGAGATAATGAAGATTACCCCAGAAACCACGTTCTAAAATTCCTCTCCGTCGCTCAATATTTTAAACATTCATTGAAAGTTCTTGTAGCTGTATTGATTCACTAGTTCACCTAATTGACATGTTATATCCGGTACAATACCATTCAATTTCAAACACATTAATCTGTTTATGATCATGAACCAGTATAGATTAGCTGTGTGAAACGAAACACACCTAAATAGTGGTCGGGTGTGCATTTGTTTCTGTTCAAGCAACTCACCAATTACCAATTAACCAAAGGCATTCAAACCGTACCCACAGTAAAAAGTACAGGATTTTCGAGAGCCTAACTTTTCTACTCCCCCCTACACACACACACACACACTGTCTATTGTTATTGTCCAGCAGCGCAGATGTATCCGCACCTGATGCCAGTTTGTGAGTTCCCCGCCGAGGAAATGGTCAGTTAGACTAACGAACGACACAGGGGAGGATGGGTAGGGGGTGGGGGGTGGGGTGGCTGATGTTATTATAGGAAATATCGTTCCTGCTGGTCATCAATCCACGCACCCTCACTGACCACTGGCCAATGTCCAGAACTGCAATTATATCCGATTCAGCTCAGTTGAAGCGTGAGTCAGACTTGACTGACAACGCCGCAGATCAACCAACACGGTCAGCTGGCGTTACTGTTCACTTGTTGTTTGTAAACTTTACATAGGGTCGTTTAATAATCGGATTTTGTTCATCAACAATGTCATCAATATGCTTAAAAATTAACATCGTGTATACTTTGCAGTAGATTCTAAACTCAAGTTACTAAAAAATTAGTAAGTTATAACAAATTGTGTTATTCACAGAATTCCGTGCTCTATTAAAAATGCATTTAACCTGCAATGTACAGTATTGTAAAATCCTATTAAACCTTAAAACGTATAGTGGGGTGGAAAGCAGCAACGATAGGTAGTAAAAACCTCTACCTTATATAGTAGATTTAATATCAACAACAGTAGTATCAAAATCGCAAATGTATACAAAGAGTAGTGAAGTACAACGTTTAACGTGGAATGAGAACTAGCAAAATAAACAGTTTATCTGACTTATTATCAAAGCTACACAGATCATCCCACTCCATTCCTAAAACATGCATATTCAGATTAAAATATTCGCCTAGGTTAACTGCAGTAATATTTAAATCAGCAATATATAGAAGAATTTTCAGAAATTTTAAGATTTTTATCCAGTCAATGGACCATTTTTACATTATTAGTATTACGTTATTCACGTATTCTGATAACCGTGTTTATAGAATTGTGAATGTACGAAAAGAGCAATGAATATTCATAAAAGTGACATTTATGGTTTTACACTGCAAATTGAGTGTATACTTAATTTTGAATACGGTAATAGTACATTGTTGAATTTTGGTTTACATAATAGTGGAAACTCAGTTTTGATTAGATTCTGCGAGTTAGAAATGTATATAGTAGCTTTTACGTTTTTAGTAACCTTGCAAAATTACAAGTTTGTGGCTAGGCTGGGTTTTAATGTCCTAACAATTTGGTAAGTGAAACACACAGAATCATATTTGGTCCATATTTTTTAAATTGTGTTTTCTTGCTAAGGAACAGATCTCCAAAAGAGGATCAGGGTGAAGGGGAAGTCTGTATAATTAACTAATTAGAGGGTATTTCTGTTGTCAAAATATGTGTTTTTTAATTGATTTTCACGTTTACGTATTGAAAGATTTTGTAGACGTTGTTTTAAAACCTTGAAAATCGCATTTTTGTATTACAAAATCGTATTTTAATACAATATTCCGATATACAAAAGTACCATTAAGTTCGGAAACACCATTTACAACACCATTCAACTTAAAAAACCCACATACAACCAGAATGTTCTAGTTGGGGGTTTGTACCCGTTATAACCAAGGGAAGAACTCATTTTAACCGTGTTGAGTCTTTTCTCTAATTCAATCCGGAAAGTTTCCCGAATCATTCTCAGTTCCGAGGTGTGATAACGTGTGTATCGGCGTCCAAGTTTGTGAACCGGGGAAGTTGTACGTCCCTCACAATGTCTGGGGATGAAATAAGATAAGAAAGGTGCTACAGTGTCCGGCCACGTATAGATCCAATTGTCCAATGTCCATCATCCCCTCTAATCCTATAGCGACCTTCGCCCCTCAAACTCCCCTTGT